TCTCCCCTGGGCTCCCCGCTCTTCCCAAGGCGACAGCATGGCTGCTGGCCCATTCCCGCAAGGGAAAGGTTTGGGAAGAAGCTGCTTGCTTGACACAGTGATGAACGAGTCTTTCCAGCCTGGATCTCTGGAGCCCCTCAAGAGGTGCTTCAGTGCCTGGAGCTGGCGGATCACGCCTGCACCTCTGTGCTGCCCCTCTCTTCTCAAGATGACCCTGTGCTGGCAGGGTGACTGGCACAGGCAGCAGCACAAAGTGCTCTCAAGCAACATTTCCAGGGCCCAGCCATGCCCAGTTCAGCGTGCCCAAAACACTCCCCTTGCTCCCGCCTGCCTCTTGTCAGCCCCTCTGAAGCTGCCCTGCTGCCCCTTCCTCTTTCACCTCCCACCAAGGAAAGGCTCACACCAACTCGCAATAAAAGGACCTTTATTTCCGCCGATGGAAGCCGTGGTGGTGGTGACCACCCAGCACGCAGTCCTTCTGCTCCCTGCCCTGCAGGCGGTCCATCAGCTGAGCGGAGCTGCGGGGGAAGGAGGAAGATGTTGCGCCACTGCAAACGCTGCTGAGAATGCAGTGGGGCACCGTCCCGTCCACGCGCTCTGGGTTGGCGGGATGTGAGGGCCCAGGTCGGACCCCCAGGCAGGCCTGCCGGGCACCCTATTTCCCTCAAGCCAGGACAGGAATGACATGGCAGGATGGAGGAAATCCGCATGGATTTGAGCTACTTACCAGCTATCCTCTGCCTTCTTCAGCCTCTGCAGGTCACTTCCACCCGTGGCTCTGAGGGGCTTCGGAGAGCTGCCCAGGAGACCTGGCTTGTGGCTCCAAGGCCAGCAGCGCAGGCAGAGGTAGCCCCGGGGGAGCCATCCCTGCCCTTGCTGGAGCCTCTGGCTCCTTGTGGGCCCGCTTTTGCCCGCAGCCACCTCCGTGCTGGGGAGGGCCGGCTTGGGCACAGTGCTTGGAAGCAGCCTCAGCACCAGCCCCGGCTGCCCGGGAGCTCCACTGCGCTGCAGGCAGGAAAGGTCTTTTTGCAGAGGGCTCTGAGGCCTCTTGTATCTTGGCCTGGCATTTGCCATCTTCCCCCAGGGCAGCCGGCCACTCCTCATGGAGACCTTTCAGCTCCCTCATCTTCTCCTCTACGACAGCAGCAAGTGGATCTCTTGTGGGCCTCCACCTGGCAGGACACCCTGGATGCTGCGGGCCACGCAAGGCAGCAGTGTTAGTGTGGTGTCTTTGGGTGGGGGGTCTGGGCAGTGGGGTGCTGGTGTTGTCATCCCTTCCCCGCCCTTGGCTTGAGCCTCGCCACCATCCCTCTTTTGCGGGCAGTTCAGCAGACAGCAGCCTGGAAAAGCTCTGCTCAAGGCAGCGCCCAACCACGTCCCCAGGCAGCAGTGGAAGAGGCCAGCGATGGCTTCTGTGGCTTCGCACTGAGGGCCCTTTGCCGAGGGGTCTCGTAGGCCTGAGCTTTCCTACGAGCCCGATCACGTACCTGCACTACAGCCCTGCGAGGGCCTGCAGGAGGGTGCGGGTTGTATTGCAAGATATCCTCAGTTTCCTGGTGGAGGCCTGCGTTGTCGAAATCACCGCTCCACAAAAATCCTGAGGAGACACCACAGGGCATGTTAGGAGAAGGGTAGCAGCTGTTTGCTAAGAAGGATTTGTGTTCAGCTCCCCCAAAGTCCGGGACACCAGAAGAGTATTAAGGCTCTCCCGCAAGCCTGCACACACGCTCAACACCCAGCGAGCCACAGCCTTTACGGGACACTGTTGTCCTGGGGTTGGAGCGCTGGGGGAAATGTGATGGGGAGAAGGTGCAGAGCAAAGAAGCAAGCCCAGTGCAATCCCTGCCACACTGTGTTAACAAGGGGCCAGCAATCGCAAGAGCTCTGTCTGCATTGGGAGCAAGCACTGAGGAAGACCTCCCCACACCCTGGGCTGGTCGCCTCCAGGCTGGCCGACACACACAAGGTTGGGCGTCTATTGTGTGCTTCCCCAGGAAGGCCCGTTTAAGAAAGGGCAGCACTTACCCTGCGCAGGCCAGAAATGATCTCAATGGCCTCCAGATACCGGGAACGTTGTGCAGAAAACTGCACGTCCATTTTGTCCCCCTGGCTGGCCATAACTCCAATATCCCCAAGGGTGAAGGCCACGTTCTCCTTCTTCCTCACGTAGGAGGAGAACAAGCGGATGGTCTCCTCCACGCAGCCTTCCACCACTTGCTGAAGAGTAGGAGAGCTGAGAGTAGGCCCAGGACAAGTGCCTCAAGTCCAGCTGTTTCATCTCCAGGTTGACTACATGGAAGAGAAACAACATTGCCTTTGCTCGTCCCTCCAGAAAGGTGCCTGCTGTGGAGGCAGGAGTTGGGGCACTCAAAGAGACAGGCTCCAACTGTGCGCAATGTTGTGGAGCACAAAGTGCTCCAGAGAAGGTCCTTGTCGGAAAGAGCACTGTGTGGGGCCGTGAAGCTGCACGTGGCTGCTTCTCCCCGCGTGTCCCAAAGAGCAGGGAGCAGCCACGCAGCCCACAGGGGATGTGGCAAGGGGAAGCAGCGGGTGGGCGCTGCCATCTCACCAGGGAGAGTCACTTTGCGGTACTGGAGTCCCCGCAGCCAGTGCGCGTCCCTGTCCATCTGGAACACAGGCCTTCGCACGACCAGCCGTTTATTGCCTGTGTCCATGGGCAGCACCTCTCGGAATGTGCCAAAGGTGCCGAGCCCCACGATCAGGACAGCCTGCACCGAGCAAAGACACCAAGGGCCACAAGTAAGGAAGAGAATAAGGGATGCTTGTCAGCGCGCTGGAAGGCTGCTCTGAGCCCTCCCCACTGCTGATGAGCAAAGGGACACTTGAGGATGGCTGCAGAGAAGAGCCACCTTCTCGCCATTGTATCCTCACCCTCCTTGTTAGGGTCACCCACGTCCCTAAGCTACAGAAGATGCCGGGGCTTTCTAACAGCCCCGGCAC